CCCTTGCTTTGTGCATGTCTTTGTGGGGAGAAAGTTGTGATTTTTTTTTTAATAGAGCTACAGACTCTGGGAATTGTATGGCCTGACCAGATGCAGCACGTGAAGGCTCTTCCACATCACCTGGGTGGCCCCATGGCCTCTGGAAGATGGAAGACTGGTGTTCTAAAATCTCCCACAGCCTCAAGCATGTTACCTAGAGGAACTGCCCCCACGTTTAAATGTGAAAGATCCCTCTTTGCATACAGGCTCTAACATGTTGTCAGGGCTGGGAACCACTGGATTAAGAGGTGAAGAATTGGGCCTTGCCCTTCCCAGGGAGGCTGCATTGAATAATCACTAGGGCCATTAATTACTTTGGAGTCAGACAGGCTTGTGTTTGGATATAGTCCTGCTGTTCTCAGGCAACTCATGTCACTTCTCTGTGCTTCCCTTTTCTCAGTTGTCAAATTAAAATCTCAATAAAGACCTTCTAAAGTTGTGAGGAGGGAATATAATATGATGCACTATTGTTTGGAAAGCAATACGGTTATTTTATAAAAGGTTAATGAAGCCAGAATAGCCTTCAGAGGAAAAAAACCTCTAATTGTGAATTGGCATTACAGGTGATTAGGGCAGGTGTTTTGAGATTTTCAGGGGCGCCTCAAATTCTACAGCTGTAATCCACACAGTTGTGAGTCCAACATCCCCCACTTTCCACATCTTCCTGCAAAAGGTTACGGAGAGGGGCAGTCTTTGGCAAACTTCTAGAACTGGATACTCTGATTCCTTAAATGCCAAATAGAATTGGTTAGACATTGTTATGATCGTCATTGCAAGTGTATTTCCTGAAAAATTGATGACCACATAAGAAGCCCGAGAGAAAAGAGGAGGTCTAGGCAAAGAAGGGCATATGTGAAATGTTGCAATAACCAGGCTAGAAGAGGTCAATGGGAAAGAGATTTTCATCTCTCCTCCTTACCTTGCTGATATTATCGTCCTTGCTCAGCATGTCGATGGTGAGATTGATATATCCAAAAGTCTCTACAATGCATGGAGAAAGAATTAAGTGTGTGCTAAAATGCCCTCCTGTTAATCACAATCAATAGTCCCCAAAGATTTCACTTTCTCACTTTCTCTCTCCTCTGTCTTTCTCTCCCCACCCCCTCTCTCGCTCTCCCGCTCTTCTCCTTAACTGTCAGCTCTCGGTTGGCAGAAACTATGTCTTATTATTCATATTCTTGTACTTGACACACTTGAAACGAGCCCATGCTGAGTATTTCCCCCCCAAAACCTAAATTAAGTGTGGAGGGAAAGATAAAAGATGCTAAGTTCCTACGTATCGCTCCAGTCCCATAGGCATCACCTGTAGCCCCTCCCACAGGCTCAGCTCCCAGAGTGCATGAGCTGAATCCCTTACAGCTGATGTGAGCACGAGAAGGCAATGGCGTGATGCAGCTCTCTTCCCTCAGCCCATCTTCTCTCTCCCTTCCCACCCCGTCTCCCCTCTGGGCCCTATTAGGTTCCCTTATGGTCCCATGCTCATGGAACCTCACTCTTTTCTGACGATAATCTAAAAGTTTTTGACTTGCACTCTCCAGCAATATTTGTATTTGAAGAAAGCTCTCTGGAAAACTAAAAAATAAAGATAATAAAATAATAATAATGAAAACTGAGTCAAAGAAAACGTGCCATTTTAGGCCACAGGGCACATTGGTAGATGAGATGCTTTGGAGGTGGTGAGTTCCCACAAGCCTCCAACTCCAACAGAGCCCCTTAGCACAGTCTCTTTGGGCAACACAGAAAGGCAGCCACACTTGAAAATTGGGGAGAATATTTCCACAGGATTCTTCCAGTATTTAAAACCAAACAGTGTGAGCCGAAACCGGTTTGGCTCAGTGGATCGAGCGTCAGCCTGCGGACTGAAGGGGCCCAGGTGCGATTCCGGTCAAGGGCATGTCCCTGGGTTGCGGGCACATCCCCAGTGGGAAATGTGCAGGAGGCGGGTGATCGATGTTTCTCTCTCATCGATGTTTCTGACTCTCTATCTCTCTCCCTTCCTCTCTGTGAAAAATCAATAAAAAAATATATTAAAACCAAACAGTGTGGACCAGAATAAAAGGGAGAGTAAAGGGGTCATCTGATCATACAATTTAAAATGGGCAGGCAACACAGAAAGGCAGCCACACTTGAAAATTGGGGAGAATATTTCCACAGGATTCTTCCAGTATTTAAAACCAAGCAGTGTGGATCAGAATAAAAGGGAGAGTAACCTCCCAGGGTCATCTGATCATACAATTTAAAATGGGCAGGTCACACCTCAAGCCTATAACTTTTTAGTAAAAGGTGTTTTGTTTTTTCCTTTAGTAAAAGGTTTCTCTTTGCTTTAAGCAAGCCCTGTTCATTGTTTCTGTACTTCCAGGTTAACACACCTTTGAAATATGACATACACACCCTCAGCATGGAACAGACTGTGGAAGCTCAGAGGGAAGGTGGGGGTGGTGGGTGGAAGATGATCAATCGCAGAACCTGTCTGCATATATGCATACCCGTGGACACAGGCAATAGGGTGGTGAAGGCCTAGGCACTAGGGTGGAGGGTTGGGGTGGGCTAGAAGAGTTCAATGGGGGAAGGAGGGGGACATTTGTAATATTTTCAACAATAAAGTTTTTTTTTAAAAGACATCACCACCCTCAAGAGAGCACCTAATCTTTACCCTGTAATCCAACCCCGGCTTGCTTCCTCCCACCTCCAGGTAATCTTCCTTATGTGCCCTCCTTAATCTCAAAAGCAGAAAAGCCACCATGAGACTTATTCTGCCGAGCATTTGAGAGCTTGCTCCTGCATATGGCATCAGTTTGGCTCAAAGGAACTTTTATAAAATTTATGTACATGTTTGGGTGTTTTTTACAGCGACAAAAAGCAATTGTCTTTCTTTGTATTGTAGCCACTTTCTCTTCAGGTAGACTACGCATTTTCAAAGAAGATAAGCCACGGTCATCTCTCAGGCTCCAGGCCTTTCATCGGTGGTTTACAATGAAGGAGGTTTTATTATTTTGGAATTGAGGGAGAGTAGAGAGAAGCAATCTTACTTCAGCATAGCTTTTCAGAAAACCTTTACGGTACATAACCTCCCAGCATGACACATTCCACCCTCAGCCCCACGTATGCACATGGTCACACAGACACAGCACCCGTAACTCCTCAGAAGACCCCGATGCTTACCTACAGTTTCCACCGGGCCCTGGGACATACTGCTGCTATTTCAGGCTAAGAGATAGCACCTAAGTATCAGAAACAGTGAGGCTAAAAGGTCCAAGAAGCAGAGCAGCAGGTTTCTCATACAAGGTTCACATCGGGTTCCCTACATGCAAGTCCCTCCTTGACTTGACTGGCAAACTGATCTGGAAGCTCCCAGTGATGGGCTGCTGTTGAGGAGGATGCTGAGTTCTACCACCACAACATTTTCTTGCTTTTGACCTCCTGCTGACCAACAAGATGGCAGCATCTCCCCGAATGGTGTCCCTTTGGTGGAGACCAGTGCCCGAGAAGGAAGAAATTAGAAGCTGGAACTCAAACCATTTTTGTAGACCAAAGGAGCTCCTCTCCTTAAAGTTGGGTCCATGGATCACAAATCCGGGAACGGTTTTCAGGGGTCACTTTACAGGCTTGGTGTTGGTAAGGCCTGTGTGGTGGTCTTGGTGATGGTTCTACTTGGTGAGTCACTCACTCCTACTGGGCATGCTCAGTGGACTGGAATCCCTGCCAGGGGCAGTTGAGTGGAATGTCCAACCGACAGCAGTGAGCAAAGAGCCTTCTCTGCCTCCTTCCTCCTCTCCTCGCCCCACCCCCTTCATGGACTTGACCTCATTCCAGACTCAGGCTTTTTCTCTTGACTCCATTCTTCCTTCTGGTCTTCTTTTTTGTTAATCCTCATCCCAGGATATTTTTCCCATTGATTTTTAGAGAGAATGGGAGGGGGAGAGGGGGGGAAAAGAGAGAAAGAGAGAGCGAGAGCTGGGGGGGGAGAGACACACACACACACACACACACATTGATTGGTTCCCTGCTGTACTTGCTCCCGACTGGGACAGGGATGGAACCTACAGCCCAAGTACATGCCTTTGACCAGGAATCAAGCCCATGACCCTTCAGTTCATGGGCTGATGCTCTAACCACTGAACAACCAGCCAGGGCATCTTTTCTGATTTTCAAATCATTTTTTTAATACAAATCTCTTGGCTATAATGATTTCAGTTTTACTAGTATGGACCTAAATCTGGTTCCCATGCTCCCCTAACCCTAACTCTATATGACCACAATTTCAAAGGTGTGTCCAGATGGTATGTTAATGTGGTAGATGTTAGAGAGAGTGGAAGGGGGTCTCAGCAGTCTACAGGCCTGGATGGAAAAGGGGCTGAGGGGAGGGGCTCAGCACAGTTCTCAGCTTCTGCTGCTTCTCTGGCTAACTTCTATTCATTAGTGACATTTAGCTCAGATTGAAAGGTAAAATGCTTCCAACTAAATCTTTGCACCTTTCTTTTCATAGACAGGTATTCTGCACTATATTTATTGTAGAAGGCCTCAGCAAGCTGGGTGAAGAAAAAGTTCAGTTTCCCAATTCAGCATCACCATTTTCTGATCTGTCCACAAGTAGCAGAACTCACGTGGTATCCTTATTTAAAACTAGAGTCCCTCAGCCCAGCCGGCATCCTCTCGCAATCCAGGACATCCTTCTCACAATCCAGGACTGCTGGCTCCTAACCACTCTGCCTGCCTGTCTGATCATCCCTAACTGCCTCTGACTCAGGCCCGCCACCACGGCTTCATCCGGAAGGACATCCAGAATGATGTCCGGAAGGTCTTTCTGCTGTCTGGTCTAATTAGCATATTATGCTTTTATTATTATAGACTAGAGGCCCAGTGCATGAAATTCATGCACTGGGGTGGAGGGGTGTCTCTCAGCCTGGCCTGCGCCTTCTCACAGTCTGGGAGCCCTCAGGGTATGTCTGACTGACAGCTTAGGCCCGTTCCCTGGGGGTAGCAGGCCTAAGCTGGCAGTCCGACATCCTTAGTGCTGCCACGGAGGTGGGAGAGGCTCCCACCATCACTGCTGCACTTGCCAGCCATGAGCCCAGCTTCTGGCTAAGTGGCACTCCCCCTGTGGAAATCATTATAGCCCAGGGGGCAGCTCCTGCATTGAGAAGGATCTGGCTAAAACTGGCTCTCCAACATCCCCCAAAGGGTCCCAGATTGTGAGAGGGACCCCACTAGTGCATGATCAGGGCCTGGGAGGGATGCGGGAGGTTGGCCAGCTGGGGAGGGACCCTGGGAGGGCTCCAGGGTGTGTCTGGCCCATCTTGCTCAGTCCTGATAAGCTGGACCCCAGCAGCAAGCTAACCTAACCTACCGGTTGGAGCGTCTGCCCCCTGGTGGTCAGTGCATGTCATAGTGAGCCGTTGAGCGGCCTTAGCATATCATTAGCATATTATACTTTGATTGGTTGAGTGGACAACCGGACGACCGGACACTTAGCACATTAGGCTTTTATTATATAGGATGTCCCTTCCCAGGCCTGCCGCAGACCTAGTTCATTAGAATGAGAGGCAGAAATCTGTACCTTCAATGAGTGCCCCTGGTGATTCTTAGGATTGCTGAAGCCGGAGAAGCACTGGTCAAGATCCTTGACCAATCACCAGTTACTCGAAAGGTGTTCATTGGATTGGGCAAGAACACAGCTGCTCATCCCGAACACCATGTCTCACCTACCCATTGGAGCAGGGCCAAGAATCGGGTGGGTCAGAAAGGTATTGAGTGATGATAATAATAATTAAAGCATAATATGTAAATTGACCAAATGGCGGAACAGCGGAACGACCATCCAGACAACCTTCCGGACGAAGCCAGGGCTGCAAGGGCTGAGGCAGCCGGGGCTGTGAAGGCCTACTCTTGCATGAATTTCATGCATCGGGCCTCTAGTAGGGAAATAAAAAACATTGGAAATTACTTGCACTTAAAGAACAATATGCAATAGAATCAATAGGAAGAAAGGTGGTCATTTAGGTACTGTTATAATCAATTTCTTACTCTTTTTGTAAGTGGTGGCAAATAATGTTTGTGACTGTCTATACCAGCTGTGGGCAAACTACGGCCCGCGGGCCGGATCCGGCCCGTTTGAAATGAATAAAACTATTGAAAAAAAAGACCATACCCTTTTATGTAATGATGTTTACTTTGAATTTATATTAGTTCACACAAACACTCCATCCATGCTTTTGTTCCGGCCCTCCGGTCCAGTTTAAGAACCCATTGTGGCCCTCGAGTCAGAAAGTTTGCCCATCCCTGGTCTATACTAAAGAATTCCTTGATTTCACAGCAATTGGAAACGTCAGGAGATGACTGATTTTTTTCTATTTATTTTCCAAGAGTTGGACAATTATATGGTGCTCAGCTATATTGTTAGGATAAAATATATATTTAAAATGCCCCCTGCCCCCAGAGAAGAATTTATGTATGAAATAAAAGGAAAAAGAAAAAAACAACATGGAACCTGGAGTTCAGAAACTTGAATTGCATTCAAGTTCAGCTTCAAACTAGTGGTATTACTCTGGAAAAATCGACCTCCCTGGACTGAGTTTGCTTCTCAATTGTAAAAGTCTGAAGTTCAGATTAGTTGACCTAAGAATTGTTATTTCCTGCCTAAAGCAACTTTGTTTTCATTTTCTTGGCAATGCGAAATCATTTGTAATGTTGTTTTTAATGCCTAAGCAGCACACTTTAAATCATTTTTTTTTTGTGTACTGGACCTTTTGTGGATAGGAGATTTCCTATACTCTTCCCCAGGAGTAAGGTTGGGGCAGTCATTGGGGCCAACCTCATATTTTTTCCACTCTTAGAGATCAATATCCTGAATTAACTGGTGTTCAGTGTCTGAACACTGTCATTTTTTTATACGGTGTCTGTTGTTTTAGTTATTTTGTGTGGAAGGATGAATCCAATCCCTGTTGTTTCATATTTGCCAGGAGCAGGAGCCTGCAACATTGTTATATATATATTGATGTCGTTTCTGTCTTGTGAACTTCTGCCACCTAGTTTGCTGCCAGGAACACTAGTGTATAAGTCAGAAATATGTTTGCTTGCAAAATAGAAGCAAAACAACAACAAAAACAACAAATCTCAAACCCCAAACCCAGAAAACACTTTTAACATGGCTTAAACATAGTGTTTTGCTGTTCTTATATAAAATCCCATCTGGAGACCGGCAGCCGGAGCTAGAGCAGCTGTTGTGGAATTGCTGTTCTCTTTTTCGGCTTTGCTATCTTTGGAGTGTGGTTTTGGCCTCCTAGTTGCAAGAAAATTGCCGTACCATCATGTAGACCTCATGCTTGCATTCCAGGAAGGAAGAAGGTAGAAAAGTACAAAGCTTTCTCCATGTGTGGTATTGGCATTCTTAATTTTGGAGGAGAAGACAGCCACGGTGAATTTCACGCACATTTCATGGGATGGGAACAAGAGCAACATAAGAATGTGATCACATGGCTGCTCTTCACAGCAGTGGATTCTGGGAAAACACGTATTTTAGCTTCTATGCCTCTCAGTAGAGGGAGTATGGATGAAAGGTGTTATGAGGATCTTTTTGAGTGGATAGTGGATAGTGGATAGACTAGTGTCTTCCAGAACAATAATGCTGTTATGTTCCAAACATTATGGATTGTCATAAGCCTAAATATGACTAGAGATCTGTGGGGACCAGATATGGTCACTTAGTTTCTATGCTTGATCACATTTTCCTTCAGTGTTTCTCAGTTGGCCTTATATGAATCATCAATAGTGAATAAGAGTAAAGGCAAGACTATAAAATTAGATTAGAGTATAAAAGATCAATTCAAATGGAGATTGTACCTCTTAGCACTGTCCTAAGTTGTTAGGTTTACTCCGTTCTGACTTATTATTTTATTTAACTCAAGCTCTCAAAATTAATTTTTCATCTCTCACTTAGGCTTTTATGCCTCTTGATCACATACATAAACCAAGCTATCCAAGTGTATATGTGCACACACAGGCACACATATGAATTTTGATGCTGCTGAGTTCATAAAATTCATGAGAATACATTTTCTTTGTTTTAAAAATTCCAGTGTAATAATTCACAAGGAGTGTTGTGATTTGGTTAAATGATTAAACAGATGCTTTGGCATGAGAAGCAAGATCTCAAGGGATAGGCTTTAAGCATATTAATCATCTTTTCTGTGT